CTTAGGGGTCATTCAACGGATAAGTCTTTTTCAATGCACCGTACTTGGGATTTGCAAGCGTTGACAGTTTAGTTATTGCTTTCCACCCTGGGGAGTGGAATAGTAACGTTAGTTAGACTAGGTCCAAACCCCCTGAGTTGGGCACTGGCTTTTCAGTGAGGTTTCGTACTTGGCGAATAATAGGATAATGAATCAGTACCCTGAAAGGTGGTGAGGGCTTTGAGGTGATGCTCTCGCTGACATTCAATCCAAGTGATATCCCGTTATATACTGCCTTCAAGCGTCCCACCTTGGTTTCGAACTTTCATACAGGAAGTTGCGGTACATGGACATCTTCCGTGTACCATACATTTAATATTTTTATCACGACTACTATAGATGATCATAATAACCATAACACATTCTCCAAGTCTCGTCGTTCCTCAAACAAGACGGACATTTACGCATAAACGGGCAACGGTTTCATTGGTTATTCTTTACCGTCACGGATTTATGATGTCAATCAAGTGTCATATTTCTAATAAGTCCCAAGTCATAAGTCGGAATTCAAGTAGCCAGTTATTCTGCAATAAACTAAAAATCACACATGGTTGGTAGATGCGAACAACCAGCATTTTGTAGAGTCAGCAAGAAATGAACGGTTTGCATCGATTCAGGCACCCCTAGCACACACACACACACACACACACACACACACACACACACACACACACCCTCGCCCCAGTTTGCTTTCTAATACACATGTGCGTTAGGTCAGGACCAGAATGATAGCGGCGGTCTGTCTTATGTATGACGCCCTCCTCTCTATTATAATTTCGTACACACACACACGTGAACACTTCGCTCATCAGTTTACACGTGCCATGGTGTCCGCAACCGGAGAACACGCGTGGAATGAGATCGAGTAAGAAAGGAGGGGAGGAGGGAGATGGACAAGCGTGCTCTGACAAGTTCGCTTCGCTGGTCATCGCTCCATTAGTTTGCCCCGTACCTTTGTGTTTCGTCCGCTTCACATGATATATCATCCAATCCACAACTAGTTTCGCACTGATGTCCAAACTGTCATCAGGTATCATCAAGCATGCATGCCTGATTGAGAATCAACACGGCGTACAGTATTGTTATCTGAGCTGATGTTTTTTGTCTCACTTGTCTATCATGAAACGCACGGATAGCGAGATGGTGGTGGTTACGATATTGGTTTTGATGGCGAAGTGCAGATGGATTGGGGCCGGAGTGTGATATTTCAGTGTGTCATCAGACGAAGCTACGTGCACAACAACTCTCAAAGGCAAAACTGTGGCTAGTAAGCAGACAAACCTGCCGCGGATACTAGGGCGAAAGCGCATGCGCTTGTCAAGCCACAGTGGTGTGCATGACAGCCTGTGCGTCTATTTCGGCGACAAAATATCTAAATCGGTGCCAAGTTCTCGTTCAGCATGACCACTAACAAGCACTGGTTCCATTCGTGGTTGCCAGCTAAACTAGAAGTTTGCACAAATACTTACTTTACCAAAGCACAAAGAACAACGGGTGGATTAGTAAGCAAACGGTAACGACACTGGTTCATGTGCCAAATGTGTCTGACTAATCTAGCGAGCAAAATCGGAGCTGCTTCGGTCTGATTAGGTCGTGTGTAATTAGTCCCCACCATTAGGCTTTGTTTCCCGAAACCGTTATACTTGTCTTGTTACATTTTTGCAGACTGAGCCACAAAACTGTCCGAACTGATTCTAAGATGAGCTAGTTCGTTTTCTGCTATAATGAATCCAACACAACTAACCACAAGGTTCTACGATACGTCACGTGATCAAAATAATGACTGTGTTCAGGCGTGATTGGTAATGTGATCGCTGGTATCGCTGCTGATTTCAAACGATAATGGATTACCTACAAGGAAATTTAGAGGTGAAAGGAAAACCACCCTGATTACTGATCGACCGGTGAGAATGCACAAACATTAGCATTCATGATTAAACAGACTATAAGACCTGTGCGGATTCAAAAGCTTAGTTTACAGGTTGGAAGTCAGACAAATCAACCAGTGTCTCGAGTCATTGATTGAACAGATCCCAGGGAGCCCATATGAACGGAAACCTTTGGATTGTTAATACAGGCATCAGTTATATCCTGACAGAAACACCACCAGTGGTCATAGTTAGTGAATCGTGCTATTTGACGGACCGAAACAAAACCTGGCCAACCGAAAAGGATTTTATATGAGAACGCGACGATCTTCCCACGATTGTAGTACGCGATGTTTCTAGAGTACCGATGAAGAAAAATCTGACATAGTATGAGGCACTCAAACACATTGAACCGAATTCCGGATTTGATGTTCGTTTCCCCTGGAATCGATGCGAGGACACAAATGCTTGCATGCATGTATGCCCTTACGCACAATGGGAATGGTCTTGGGGAGGGAGGAATGGCGTGAATATTCAACAAAGTATAGTTGAAAAACGGATACAATCAGTCGAATGGGTTGGCTACCCATTGCTGAAATCGAAAGATAAGCTAAACCCTTAGCGTAGTTTGGTTATAGGAAACTTGCAAGTGTGATGGCACTGCGTGAAAGTGCACGAACGCACGCACACGCACACGCACGCGCGCGCACACACACACACACACACAGCGAGCGAGCGAGAGAGAGAGAGAGAGAGAGAGAGAGAGAGAGAGAGAAATGCTCGTACGCGAATGAACTTCAGGTCAAACGTTTGACCAACGATCGGGGATAGAGATCATCAGGACAGCTGAATGCAGTGCAGTGCAGTGCAGTGCAGTGCAATGCAGCGCAATGCAGTACAGTGCAGCAAAGCATTGCACTGCATTATTGCACGCCACACAGTGCGAACCAACGTCGCACCGATACTGATACGCAGATAAACAGAGCTGAAACGAATGGATGATCAAATCAATTCGCACTCATCGTAGCGATCCGATAGGACATAAACACACACACAGCACATCAATACACCCGCACGCACGCAGAGAAGGCGAGAGGGGTCTAGCAACAAGCTGGTACAAATAAATCGGAGAAGAAACAATCGATCGAACCATAGACAAAAACACAAGTAGTGTATGTGCCCGTGAACCGTGTGTTCGGTAAGTTCGAAGACGTGCAGACAGACATCGGTTGGGTGATGTCGCAAAGCAAAGTAATCACGAGAGAGAGAGAAAGGCAGTAAAAAGTTAAAAAACGCACCCCATCTGTATAACCTTGCTCCGCATCAATGCATTGCATACGCACTGAACACGAGAATAAGTGAATGCGTACATGTTTGCATCAGTGAAAATGAGGAAGGGAAACGCTCAATCGAAATGGATAGTCGTTTCTATTCCATGTAGAGAAGAGTAATGAATAACACAGTCGATTTCTACTACAGATGAACATGATTAGAGAAAGTTCATGTGGAATGAAGAGCTTTAACTTTGTATACTGTGCTTGCAAACCTTTTGTGAAAAAGAACAGCGATTCTAAAACGATTGATGCCTCATTTCAGACCCGCCCCTGATTATTCGCATCTGTCGCTCCACGATGGGGAAAATAACATGCAGGTCAACAGATGATGTGGAAATACGGCATGCCTGAAACGATTAAGTCGAATAGGTGTCCCTCGTTTCCAGCTTGGGATACGTACGGTGGGAGACACTGGAAGACACGGGAGGAAACCGACAGCAGTGGCGTTCTTGTTGTCGCTTTTTAGCAAGTCAGAATGCTTGAAGACTGTGCACTATGTGTGTGTGTGTGCTGAGCATAGAGGTTCAAATTCATTGACCCACCCCCTACAAAATAGGTCCAATCCCAATTCAGCTTACACATTCCCGCTTACTTTGTATACATTGTTAGCTATAAAGCGATCAATGAGCTTGGCTCCTCCGTATTTCGCTGTACGATGCAGATGATGGTGATGACAATAATGTGAACACACAGTGCAAATAGTAAAACATTAAATGAGCAATCAAACCAACCTCGATGCTGTTTCTTCATCACCAACACCAACAATATCTCTTTGCCAAGGTTTCTGAGAGGTGAGTGAACGTGAACATATATCGACGAAAGTGAAACTAACTGTTTAAGTACACGCGATACACTCCGTTCGCACCAACCCAATTCAAGCTTGAACCATCACGAGCTTGTTAGGCAATAGAGTGCACTCGCCCCTTAATCATATATGTCATTCAAAAGATGAGGAAAAGAAAGCAAGTACAGAACCGAATGAATTGACTGAACAATTGATCGAAAGATTCATCGAACTTGGATAATCGTGTACAAACGAGGACAGTGCTCTAAGTGAAATACACAGACAATGTTCGTCATAATGAGCTTGAAACTTTTTCATTTTGCTTCTCGTGTTGTATCGTGAATCCATAACTGAACGATACAAGCCACACCCGTAATTTCTGTGTGCCTATTGAGTGATCCTCATCAAGGATGTAGTGCAGCCAGGTTGCATTACGTAAACTGCATTCAGTTCATTCTGTGGTCTGATATTGCTTTAGGCCTGGCAACCCGATAAATGTCATGTCATGATATAATGCAACTGCGAAAATGACCCCTTTTCAAGTGCCAGGGACAAGACAAGGATAATGTTAGATCAGCGAGCAATCCTCCACATACACACATATATACAGATAGAGTGGAATGGAACGCTCACCTTGGACACGGAACCGTTTCGGATTGTAGGTGAGACAGACGTATGCCACTGTGCCAGTAGGAAGCATACTGGGTAGTGTGTTTGGCGGAGGAGATAGAATGCCCAATGGCAACGCGACCGGAGTGACCCGAGTGGACAAAGCGTTAATCAGAGCACAGGCTTCTTCCGATTGCTAATGCACAAGAGTGATAAACATGCAAAGAGAAAAAGAGAGAGAGAGATAAGAATGCAGCAAACGCTGAAGTCAAAACAACAACAACACCACCAGCAGCGATAAATACTGAGGAAGGGACAAAGGACATCTGACGGAAGAGTGGAAAGAGGGAGTGG